CACACACACACACACACACACAAAAACACTTGGTTTTCAGTAACATACATTTATAATTTACGAAAACAAAACCGCCCATTGGTTTCATCATTAGGAGTCTTGCATTATTTGGCAAATACTGGGATGCATCGGTTAACTATCAATGTCAGTCACCATAGCCACTAAACCAATCGTCATCATCAGCTATTTTCAACCCATCCACAGCTTTATTTTGGTCCGTGATCATGGTAATAGTGTTTCGCATCAATCGGAGAAAGTGGAAACTCGACAGCTGATCTGGCATGGTATTGTGTAATGAGGCATTCAAAGCACATCCCAGCGGTCAAACTGCAGCTTGTGTATTTGATGTTTTTCTTTCTGAAAGTTATTTTTATGCACTCCTTCTCAAAGCTTCTCCTGATAAACTACTAACTACACAAAGTGTGGTGCACACTGGACAATTTTGTCCACACCTGGCCATCTGAGACAGATTTCATAATTGTATTGTAAAATATTTATTTTGTTCTAAGATGATAACATTGCAAACATTTGAGCTCACTTTTTTTTTTACACAAAAAGGCAGCGACAAAAAAAAAATTGCACAGTGTGTACACAGCTCATTTTGCACTTTCAGAGCAGTTGTGTCGTCTTCAGCAGCAGTTCCTGTTCCGTCAGTCAGAACAACGTTTTAGGTGCGTCCCAATTTATGTACTTGTGCGCTATTCTGTGCTGTTTTGTAGTGCAAATAGTGCGAGTATTGCATTCACACTGAAAATGCCAAAAAGAGAATGTGCAATTTAAATAACCACGTGTTAACTTAATCAACCAAAAAAAAAAAAAAGTTTATAATGTTGGAAATTTTACAGTCAACTGTTTCAGCTTTAATTTTGTAGCAGAGGGGAGGGGCTATCAGACGCTGAAGTTAAATGACAAAATAACCGTACAAATTTCATACACTACACAGTTGAGTGCATAGTGCATAAGTACATGGTGTATAAGCGAGTCATTTGGGACACAACTTTCATCTCCCCTGATGTGCATTCAGTGTGCTTGTGCTCTCTGTATGCGTGTTTGTCTCAGGCCTTTGACTCTGTGGGCGGGCCTTGCTAATGATCTGACTGTGATGCTGTAACACTATTGGCTTACAGTGCTGCTGCTCTTCTTCTTTAACACTGCTTGCCCTTCCTGTCGGATTCATCTCTGGGGCCGCCCACATAGCCGTCGGGTAATGTGTGGGTAACCCACGAGGAAATGGAGACCCTTGCCGCCCCCTCCAAAACGGTCAGTCACTTCATTCTTTTTAACTCTAACCAAACTAGGGTTGTTTTTTTTCACATGATCCTTTGTTTACTGACCCTTTTTGCTTTCACAGAATCAGGATAGAGCAGGAAAGTCGACATGAAATCAAAATCACCCCTCATTTACTTTATTAGGACACGATCCTGATGTTACTGTGCACAATTCAAGCTGCATCTGTTCTGAAACGATTTTCCATTATCAGCTGGTGGATACAGCAGTTACTGTTATTGACTGTCCAAAAGCCTCCTCAAATATGAATTTACAGAACTAAAATGAGTCATGAATGCGGTTTCATGTCGACTGTGAGCTCTGGTCCCTAACTAGGCAGAGGAAGATTTCATCAATTCATGTCTGAATATATTTGAGCTTCAATAATCAACTCATATGTGCTTCTGTTACATCCATTGGTTCCCAACAGCTCTGAAAAAAGCGAGGCCGAACGGATGTAACATTCTCACATTCAAATCAAATGCAATCAGTCAAAAGAGAATAAAAGTAGCCTCGTTATTCTCCATTGAGCCTCATCACAGCCTCATACAATCATCACCGTTCACCCTCATCAGCTTCACGATCACTAGGAACACGAGCGTGGAACGGAAACGCTCACAATGTACACTGAAGATGACCGCATGTCGTGTATGTGATGTAGTTTGTGTGTAATGTATTGTGTTTGCATGCAGATGATTAGAGGAAGTCAAGCACTAGTTTCTTAGATTTTTCCATCCACTGTGTGAGCTGCGTTACACGTTTAATAACATTTATACGGATGCATGTACAATCACGTTATTATGTGCAACGTACGTGGTTTGAAAAGTTAACAGATGTACATATAGCGCAACATTTTCAAGACAACACAGATACACTCACTTTCTTGTGCTTCTGCAGAAATCTGCGTCAGAGGAGGGGAGCTGGTCACAGGTGAGAGTGTAAAATCCACACAGTGCTACATTACTCATTTCTAACAGAAAACACACATTAACAAATGCATTTGCAATGGCTTTTTAAAAAGCATAGCTATAACATACACTTCACCCAAAAATTCTGTCATTAATTACTCGCCTCATTAATTCCAAACCCGTAAGATCTTTGTTCATCTTCAGAACACAAATTAAGACTTTTTTGCTGAAGTAGGTGGTGTGGGTTTCAGGATTAATGGCTCCTGAAAATTCAGCTTTGCATTCCCAGAAAAGAATTTGGTTTAAAAATATATTTAATATATTAAAATAGCAAACAGCTATTTTAAACAGCAGTATTACTGTTTTTGCACGTATCATTTAGACACTGGCATACGGGGACATGAACCACGAGTGGATCGGGAACGAGTGGCTGCCCAGTCTAGGTCTACCTCAGTACCGCAGCTACTTCATGGAGTGTTTGGTGGACGCACGCATGCTGGACCACCTCACCAAGAAGGACCTCCGAGTGCATTTAAAAATGGTGGACAGCTTTCACAGGTCAGTAGTCCATTGGTCTCCAAGTATTTGATTAATTAAATTAGTGCTAACTTGACCTAACTTGCCTTAAATGTAATATGAATGTATCATTTTAATGTATTAATTGACGCTTATTAAAATTTGCAATAGAACCAGTCTGCAGTACGGCATCATGTGCCTGAAGAAGCTCAACTATGACAGGAAGGAGCTGGAGAGACGCAGAGAGAGCAGCCAGCACGAGATAAGAGGTAGGCAGAAACTGCTTGGTTGGCTGTGACAATCCAACCAACGTAAACACACGTTATGACTTTTGCATGTATTTTTACGCAGACGTGCTGGTGTGGACTAACGAGCGCGTGATTCGCTGGATCCAGAGCATCGGCCTCCGTGACTACGCCAACATCCTGTTAGAGAGCGGCGTGCACGGGGCGCTCATAGCGCTCGATGACAACTTTGACTACAGCAGCCTGGCCCTGCTGCTGCAGATCCCCAACCAAAACACTCAGGTACCCGTCCATCCATCCAGACACACACACACTTTACAGTTAAGGTCGTTTCACACTGAGCGCGATGCGAAAAAGTGAGGCGCCAACGAATGGTGCTTTCACACCGAGCGCGAAATGATTGATCGCCTTCTGCTAATTCACGCCTGCAAGCTAGCTGGCGCCGACCAGCAATGCATTTTTTCTCAGATATGTATCTCGTATATGCTCTGCTGCTCAATATATACATCATTAAATTAAGATAAAGTTTGGTTCTGCACCAGATGCGATTTGTTTTTTGCTTAAAACCCACTTTAACCCATCATCGAGTGGTTGTAATAACTTCCAATTGAGTTCTAAAGTGGATTTTTATTTTATAATAGGCAGACATGCACTATTTGTATGTTTTATAATGATTGAAAGCGACCCCAGCTTATCATTTGTCATAAACATCCCTTACAGTTATAAAAAATATCATGAGCTGCATAAAACACATACAGAAAATATAACGTCATAATCTTATGTCTATTTACTTCCATATTACATATATAAAAAAAAATAGAAAAATGTTTCTATACATGTAATGTATAGAATCATTATCCCATGATTGGCAGATCTTGAGCGAATGCACTCTGACTCATAACAATGACTATACAGAAATTATATTCTTTATAAAGTGGTGAGAATAAATCTGTTCTCAGATACCAATGATAACAACAACTCGGCATCCTCTTCTCTCTCAGAATACTCTTCTTCTGTGTTTGTTTACGGTGGTTTTCGAAACAGTGCCACCACTCTCACCCTTTTGTGCAACAGCAGCTGCTCCGGGCACGTGATCTTGGCTCAAATCTAATTGAGCGGCCCGTTTCGTCGCGGAGTGACGGTAAAATATCGCCACACAGAATGAAAAAAAAATCCTTGCTTTTTCGTTCAGCGAATGATCGCCCTATAAGAATGTATTGTTTCGATTCAAAAGCGTCATTGTGCCAAACATTTGTGTCAAATTTTTGCATTCAGTGTGAAAAGGACTTTACAGTTACTTGGAGGTACCAATGCTGAATTAATGAATTCTTTTCTACAGGCTAGACAAATTCTGGAAAGAGAGTACAACAATCTGCTGGCGCTGGGAACGGAGAGACGATTAGATGAGGTGAATCACTAGTTTCTGACATTTTGTATAGAATTGAACAGTCGACAGTGGTTCCATTCCAAATGTTTACATACTGTAGCCAGTGTCATGAAGGAAACATCACTTTAAAAAATGAGTGATCATGAACAAATATTTTTGTTAATAGCTCCCATACAAATTTCCGCGACCCATGGCGCCAACAGTTTAGTAAAGGGACCAATTCTCACTATTAAAGGAATAGTTCACCCAAAAATGAAAATGTGATGTTTATCTGCTTACCCCCAGGGCATCCAATATGTAGGTGACTTTGTTTCTTCAGTAGAACACAAACGAAGATTTTTTAACTCAAACCGTTGCAGTCATATAATGGAGGTGAATGGGAATCATGGCTTTGAGAGTAAAAAAAACATACACAAACACAACCAAATTAAACCCTGCGGCTCGTGGCAATGCATTGATGTGTAAATACACAAAACGATCGGTCTGTGCAAGAAACTGAACAGTATTTATATCGTTTTTTTACCTCTGATTTATTGCAATGTCCGAACTGTCCTAAGCGCATCTTGAGCG